ATCCCCAGGGGATCACACATGATGGCAAAAAACCTTCTATGCCAGTAATCTGGCACCCAACATACGCAGGTATAAGGGTATGAGAACCTTCATAAGCTAGATGAAGAAAGAAGAAGAAAGATACCTGAAGTAGCGAGACATGGCGCACCTGTCAAATTTCCTCCCTCCCCAGCGGGGATGTACGTGCATACGGGTCTCGGAGCATTCAGAGTTGTGCATACGGGTCTCCGAGCAATCAGATTGTTGTTTGTACACCTGAAAATATGATACTAGTTCAGAGCTTCCTCCCGTCGAGGCGAACGAGTTTGCAACGGAAATGGGTCTCAGCAACGAAAATAGAGCTTCTATGAAAGTGTTGTGGTTCATTCTAGGTAGGCTTCTTTACCACAGTATATAAGTCACAGCAATCGTCTAGGAGCTTCGGGCGACGTTTTAAATGGTTTCAGCGAGAAGGACCTGGCTGTAATAGAAGAGGAAGTTGTCTCGCCTATGTTTAGTGAAGCGGTAATTCCTTCACTTTTCTCACATAAAGCTGTGCCAACAGAGTGCAAACGATTTTTGTTTGCTCAGAAGGTGTCATGCTACTGGATCATCTAAAATGCTGTTCGCTTTTGTGAGCTCGACAAGTGCTCTAATTTACAAATATGTATGTCACGATAATGATAACGGATGCTGTATACGATTTGCCCAATTTTATAGTTTACGTAAACTTATCAACCATGCGCCAATCGTAAGGCTCGTTTGCACTATATTCGTGCGGGGAGGGAAGAGAATTTAATTGCGAAAAAATGCGTCATATCTCGCTAATTTAGTTGTAATATGGTGGGGATTTGGGGATCCTCAGTGATCACCTCACATTTCCAAAGTAATTTATTTTTCTAATAAAGTTGGTAAAATCTAGTAGAATTGTGCCGAGGGAATGCTGTGGCACTGCTATACATGACTATGGTAGAAATTAGCGAAAGATGAGGAATTGAAGTTTATGACGAACCTCTGTTCGCGAGCTGAGGCCCATTGAAAAAAATCAGTACATGTACAATCCATATTTTGTAGCTTGTTTCGTGTGATCTTTTGGATCCCCAGGTGATCACACGAAACAAGCAAAAATTTGACTGTGAAGACAAAAGTATTAGCAGTTTCAACGATATAAAAACCCAAATCTTTGCATGCTTTGAAGGGGGAATGTGACACAATTTTAGAAAACGGCCGTCAAATTTTTTGGGGTTGTGCCAATTTTTATTGATAACCAAAAAACTCTTAGTAAATAGTATTTACATAGTTGTGT